TTGCTTCGCTGGTTTTTTATTGAAAAAAAACCCCAAGAGATCCTGTATGCAAGACTAACACTGACTGACGGAATGTATTTGCCGCTATAACACGGCGATATATAACATATGACTCACCGCATGATGTTTTACACCCACTAGGGGGCCTCGTGAGCTCTTTGCACGTTTCACATGCTTCACATTGACCCAAACCGTCCGAGTAATAATTGGGAGGACACGTCGGTACTTCATCGACAACGATTGGTAACATGCCTAGCGAAGGTACGCCCACCGCCGAGAAGAGAAGAAAAGCTACTCTAACAAATCGAATCTTCATAGCTGTTACTGCCTTCCCTGGAAGCCGATTAGTAAATGTCAAAATTGTAAATGCATGGTATAGGATAGGTAAGAACAGGAGCGACAGTGCCTTCCTCTCGACATTCTGAATAAGTAATGCGGTAATTCGAACTCTTGCGCTTGCTTTTATAACACTCTCACCGGGAATTCACCGTGATGTCATCTCCAAAATTAATTCAACCACACTTGCACAATATGATCATCGACTCGGACGGCAGGTAACACAAAGAAAAAAACACAGGTCATCAACCTTCCTGACATGGCATGCATAAGAATCACTGCAAGGTATCGGAGTATAGGTATAGGTTGGGGAGAAATTATAGTCGGGGATATTGTAATTGCAGGCATGTATTAGACCCTGTATTAGACATACCTGGTCTGACATGGTCGGAGATGGTTAATGTGCTCTCACCGGCAGATATACAAGTGACAACGAATATTTCATTCATCGCGGCAAAACTCTATTATTTAATGGCAAAATAATATTACTTCACGGCAAAACACTATTACTTCACGGCAAAACTATATTATTTCACGGAAAAACATTATTACTTCACGGCAAAACTCCACAATTTGACGGCTTTACTTCATTATTTGACGGCAAACCCATATTGGCCATAAGCCATATCGGTCTGTATTATACTGTAAAACCGTTAAATTTCACTATTTTGATCAATAAAACGATTGATTTTCAACCCAAAAAGAAATAGGAAACGTTATACAAGAGGGAAACCTTTCTGCGACAAAGCGTTAGAACATCTGCGGCAGCAGATGAGAGGCAGAAAATATGCTAATACCCTAGTGCCAAACAGAATACGATACACCTTTAATTACTTGTTGAAAAATCAGGCACATCAAATACAGGCCACTCTCAATTAGTGACACACATTTTAGGCGACCCCAAAAGTTTCTGGTTTAAGTCAAATATTCTTGGCCCACGTGACCGACGAATTTTCAAATAGATGTTATTAATGACGATGAGGTTTTGTTTTTTAAAACGAGAAGATGGTTCTTATATTATCGGAACGACGGGGTTGGGAGATCGATTTAACGAGTTTTAAAATCCAACACTTTTATATATTGACGACATTTCCGTCCTATCGGAAACTGATAACGATTTATTTTGAAGCGAATAATGGATTTTATTTATGATAGGTGCAATATATGGCACCACATACACTTCGTTTTACCTGACACGAAATTTGGGCTTGGCACAGACGTTTTGCAGTATACGAGCAATTATAAAAGAAACCTGGCAGTCATCTTACCTGAACACATTCGTGAGATGAAATCAAGATCAGATGTATATGAAAAAACGATTATTTCTTTAAGAATATAGTTATTATATATATATTTACTAATTATTTTAATTCAAAAATCATTGCTGAGCACTGTAATGGGTTTGGTTTTCAAAAATTACAGAATTACAGCGAATCCATTGAAAATAATCGTTTCAACTCCCATCGGTGTAAATCGATATGAGCCAATTCAATGTAGATACGGATAGGATATTTGAGATTAATTAATATTTAAAATATTTGATATATTTCAAAGTGATTGCCCATTAAACATGAAATACATGTTAGATGACAACGTCCACGATGAGCACAGCAGTACAATATCTTCAAACTAACCAAACCCGTGAACAAAGGTTCTTCACACTTCCAGTTCCACATCGAGACAAATTTCTGTTTTATTGTACATCCGTTGATCATAACACATTTTTGTTGAAGCAAGCGACATGATACATATAATTGACAATTATAGGGAATCGGGGGGAGGGGGAGGGTATTAGGTTTTCACATTGTCGCAGACAGCTTTCATGATTGCGATTTACCGTGTTTTTAAAATACAGTTTACAATTTTAAAGTGGCCTATGCGATCGCGAGTGTGGGTTGCTTATTAATTTATTATACCAAAGCTGATGAAATATATTGTGCAATTTTCTCGATATATAAATCAATAAATCAACCCACGCTCGTTTCGTTTACTACTGCTCGTCTTGGTTATTTTTACACAAAAAGTCAAAACTATAGAACTTAACTCGATTCTAGTTGTGGTCGTACATAACACAATTATGGTATGTACAATGTATATGCACGCAATGTAGCATTCAGGCTGGTCGATGACACTAGACAGATGGGTTGATTACCGAAGAATCACCATCAAAACCCTAAAACGTCACAGTCATCGCGTTACATATATATGTTAGGG